GGTCCCCCGCCTCCCTGCGGCAGGGCTCGGCTGTTGCTGTGGCTGCGGCGCCGCGTGGCGCCTTTACCTCCCTTCTCCTTCCGCTGCGTCCTCTACCCCGGGCAGGCCCTGTCCCCGCTGTGCCTTGGTGGCTGCTTTGTATCCCATCTCGTCCCTGCTAGGTGCCATGCAGAGGCCTTTCCCCTGGGAGAGGCCCAGACAGCCAGGGGGCAGGGGGGCATTTGTAGGCAAGATGTAGTTAACGCGTGGGATTCGTCGCCGCAGGCGGTGGTGGAGGCGAGCGGCACTGCCAGGCTCAGAGGGCCTAGATAGGTCGGTGGGTGATAGATCTGTTGGGGGCTATTGGACCGAAGGGCTGGAGCTGTTTGTTCCCGCCTCTGAACGCCGACGGCAGATGCCAGGGAGGATATGGAAGTGGGGCCAGATCGCTTTAGGTGTATCAGGTTCCTTGCTCTCCCTTTCTAGCACCCAGCCTGGCTAGGGGGACCATTGGTCTGGCCCAGTATGGCACCTCTGACCTTCTTGTGATGCCTCACAGCAAGACCTGCAGCACCTGAAGTAGGCAGGGGGTTATGAAAGCGCATGGCTCTATTAACCAGCCTCTAAGGCACCACCTGCTTTGCCTTCTGCCTAGCTTCAGACTAACAAGGCTAATCACCACTCAAGTCAGTGGATGTGGCCTTTAGGGTATGTCTGCAACTGGCCTTCTCACAGCTCCATCAGCCCAGTCCATCTGGGACGTTCTTCCAGCAGTCGGAGGCGGCAAGAATTTACCAGAATGCATGAACGACGCTGCCCCCGGAGGCTGGGGGGGCACAGCAACCCCCCCGCAGGTGGCAGCGGTAGGGGCATGGAGGCGGTGAGCAAGGAGCTCCCACAGGTGGCTGTGGCCGTGGCGGGAGGGCGAGCACCAATCAGTGGTCAGTGATGACCTGCAGATGCCATCAGCAATGATCAGCAACCACCCTAGACACCACTGGCAGTGTTGGCATTGAGGGAGAGGGTTGGCGAGCAGCGACTGCCAGGGCCGTCCCTGCGGAGGCGAATTGGGGCAACTGCCCAGGGCCCCACACTTTGGGGGAGCCTGCAGAGCTGGGCAGAGCAGCAGCGACATGGAGCTGGGCAGAGTGGCAGCTCCACGTCCAGCCGCTCATGCCCCCCTCCCCCCACCGCCACTGCTGCCACCACTGCCAATGGTGGCAGCAGCTTCTTTGGGTCTGGGATCGGAGCAGGGCCCTGCATGGGCTGATTTGCCCCAGGCCCTGCACTCTGCTTGGGTCACCTCTGGCAACTGCCCACAGGCAGCGTCAGCAGCACTTCTGTCAGGGGGTGCACCCACCCGTGCGCACCCCCCACACGTCGCCAATGCCAGAATGTGACCTCATCACTTCAACATCTCTGGAAACCTTAAGGAGCTGCTTGTGATATTCTGAAGAAGACTGAACTTTTGTACATTTTACAAGGTTAAACAAGCTGACTCATTAGTGTTGCAAAGGAGATGATCATTCCCAGAAACAAGTCAGTGGGTGCTGACTCTGCTGCAGCTTGAGGTCATTGCTCCTGATCCTATCCCTTGTGACCTCAGGGAATAATCTATCTCCATCCTCTTTATAATGACCATTTAGGTATTTGAAGACTCAGTTTTCTCTTTTCCAGACTAAGTAATCACAGTTTTTTTCAAACTTTCCTTGTATGTCTTGCTCCTCAGGCCCCTAATAATTTTTGTCACTCTGGACTCTTTCCAATCTAGCCACATCCTTCTTGAAATGCAGGGCCCAAAACTAGACACTGTACTCCAGGTGAGGCCTCACCAATGCTGGATAAAGCGAAAGAATCACTTCCCTTGATTTACAAGAGATTCTCCTGTTAATACAACCCAGTATGCTGTTGGCTTTTTTTGCAACAAGCACACTGTTGCCTCATATTCAGTTTATGTTTTGAAAATAACAGGCCCCTATACTTGAAGACTCGATTTTTAATCTTGTGTTTTAAACTTTAAGAACTGATAACTTAATATTTTAACAGATATGAAGGTTCTTGGCCTTGATGCTGTGAACAAGTTTTAGGAGGCTATCAGCGCCTTCTCATTCCAATTACTAGAAAGGAAGTAGGAATTCTAAAATATTTTTTCTTTTGTAACATTGGGTCATAATTCTGAAAAAATAAGGACCACTGTCCTTGCTTTCACTGCCCTCTTTTTGGAAGTAATAAGAGCCATTGCACAATAAAGCTTCAGTGCTAGGAATTATTTTGATTTCAGTTGCAAACACAATCTATCTCTTAGTATAATAAAAGATAGATGTATATCATATAATGTGTATTCTCACACTTTCAGGGGTGTTCTTCGGCCCCAAACCCCTCTCTGCCACCTGCTGATTGACCACTGAGTTTAAAATGAGATGCTCTAAATGTCACCTTTCTAACCAATGGCACCTCAGCTTTCCCTGGCTCACCTAACCAGCTCCTAGCAGATTTTGTGTGGTCATGTGCTCAGAAAAGATAGATTGGAACAGGCCTTCCTTGGAAGAGGCCTGTATGGTCAAATACTCTTAAATCACAATTGTCACTGGCAATATGTGTGTTATAAAAGTTAACACCAAGATTTATTCTAAGAACAAGAGCAAGCATAAGAAATCAGTAGCCATATGTTGAGAAACAGAAGTATAATATAAATAGACTAAATATTGAAACAATAATCTGATTTTACGCCACATCTTAAACCCAAGAATACAGTTTTTACCCAGCTCAGATTAGGAAGCGGCTCCTGCCTCTGACCTTTCCCTTAGGGCTTCTGCCACTTCTCTTGTCAACCAGAACAATTAGCCCACTGCCTGAGGTAGACCCAAAGCCTTTTCCTATGCTCAGGGAAAACTAAAGAGGTTTAAATGTGGTTTCTTGCCTGGCCCTTTGCATACATCATCTGTTGGATTCTTGGGAAGCCCAAGCTGTACACGTAACTTCCAGCTCCCCACAAGGGTGCATGTTTACCAGACCAGAGGACTTTTCCATTATGACCACGAGAATATTTGTATCATTTCAGATATATCCAAAATGCTGCCTCTCACTTAATTTCACCACTCTGAGAAAAGTCCTTAGGTAATACTCATAATACAGTCTCTTTTTAAAAATGCAAAGTTATCATTGCCTGGAATGCAAAAGAAACTTATTGTTTTAGGGAGTGAGACTTGAGAATAATTTCATATAATATGTTATAATCAGGGATCCTGGTTTTCTCTGATAAAATTGCAAATTCTCTGATGAAAACTCCAAAATTTGCAATTAAAATGAAGTGCCACTATGTACATAGGTATCAGTTGAACATAATGTTTTATTGATACATTTAAAATTTTAAAGCAGTTTGGAAGCCTACCAGTGCCTCAATCACTATAATAAACTACATTCTAAATACCTATAAATTTTTGTGTTTGATTTTGGGTTTTTTATCATGGGAAATCAGAGCTAACCCTGCCCCCTTCCCTCACCAGGACGTGGGTCTAGGCCCCTCACTCCCAAGCCACAGCCCCCCCCAGCCCTGCTGGTTTCCCTCACTCCCCACCCACAGTCCCCTGGCCCTGTTGGTGCCCCTTGCCCCCCCACCAACAGCCCCCTGGCCCACCACCCAGGCAGGGAAGAGGGTAGAGCCCAACTCCCCCTCCCCTGTGGGTGGCACAGCCAGAGCAGAGCCCATTAGAAGGGGGGCAGGTGTGGGCTGCCCACTGTGGGCCTGGGTTCCCTGCCCTGCTGCCCTCCCCCAGGGCCTCCATGGCCCAGTGGGCAGGACCCAGCATGCCAGGGCAGAGATGCTCCTTGCCACTGCAAGCACCATGCTGCCATGGCAAAGTGACCCCTGCCTGCCTGACAGCAACAAGGTGCATAACTCCGCACCACCACCACAATGCTGCTGGGCAGGCAGGGTTGCTTCACTAATCAGTGTGGGGCTTGCAGTAGCTAGGAGCTTGCCCACCCAGCCCTGCTCTGCTCTGCCACACTGGGTTCTGCCTGCTGGGCTGCAGAGGCCCTGTGGGGAGGACAGCAGAGCGGACGGCCCAAGACCACAGCAGACAGCCCACCTGTGTTACCGCCCTACACACAGATCTGGGGACATATGCCCCCTCTGGTAGTGTACACGGTGGCAGGGAGCCACTCCCCCACCCCTGCCCCGTCCCCTAGATGAGCTGCCCACGATCCATCCCACTCCCTGCCCAGGCCCTGCAGCCACACATGGCCCTGGGCCCCAAGCCCCATGTACCACTCCAACTGGGCAGCAGTCCCAGCCCCAGCCCTGCGCAGCTCCCTTCCTCCTTCCCTATGGGGACCTCAATCAGCCCTGCTAGACTTACCTGTAGGAGCTGTTCTCCAGGCTGCCTGGGGCCATGTGCATGTACATACACATGGAGCCCCCTACCTGCCACCCTACTGCTCCCCCCAGCCCCTTGCAGGCTGGAACTGCCACCTTGAGAGAGCACTTTGCAAATGTGGAAATTCTACCTGTTTCTCCATTAAAATCAGAAATCCATGTTTTTCTCTGTTAAAAGGGGAAATCTGTGTTTTTCCCATTTTTCTGAGAGAAATGGAAAACCCAAATCCCTGGCCATAATAATGCTAGAATGTCATGAATAATATATTTATATCAAGGTCAGTATCAAATACCACAACACATATAAACATAACAATAATATCGCTGAACACTGCTTAACACCACCTATCTGTGGAGACCTCAGTAAAAGAAACACAAGAAAAAATGCATGACATCCCATGAACACCCCAAAAAATAGTGGAGTTCATAACAGTCAGTCTTACAACTTCTTTACCCAATTGTATGGGTCAGTTTCTTGACCCAACACAATGGATCCTTCTATGTCACAGCGTAGATAAAGATTTTAAGGTGTAGCTAAAGCTTGGTAATTTTTAAAAAATGATTGAGACTTTTATATGAAATACGCTGCAAAAAATGTACATTCTTACACATGTATATGCATAAATGATTCATCTAAAGCTTTATATCCAGATGAAAATCAATAGAAATGTGAATGCATTATTCTAAAATATAAAAACATCTTTAAGATGGTTCAATGTTTCTAAAAGAATTTGATAGATGTTTTTATTTTTTAGAATAATGTATTCAAATTTCTATTTATTTTCATTTG